TTGTGCATCTAGGAGCTGTGACTCCATATAAATGACAAAGAGAGTTTCTGGTCCCAGGGAGGTCATCCTTGCATGATGCATTATAACTAGAAATTAGATCCCTGACCCGGCATTTAAGTAAGTGCACAACTGTACTGACATATATAATCTTAATGGCAGGAAGAATGATCAGGGCCCCGGGGGAGAAAACCTCTAGCAAAATGAGAATGAGAAGTCTAGGACTGCTAGATTAGAGAGACGATTAAGAGGGCAAGTAACAGAAGCAGAAAAAATGAAGAACAAATAGAGAACTGAGATAAGGATCTTAAGGAACGGGGCTATACTTTTCTCAAATGAGCTATAATTTGCTGTCTAGTTTATTCCCTTATGATATAAGAGAAGACAAAAGTATCTGGACTGAGGACACTTGGACTAAAGACTGAAGCAGGGTTGACATATGTATGGGATTGGGTATATGTGATTACATACTCTTTACAGGCTACTCAAGAATTATGCGTAAATAAAAAGTTTTGAAAGAAATAGAATAAAATTTAAAACAAAGGACACAAAACTGCTCCTGCTAGAGAGTTTCTGCTGAGCCCACAGTGGGCACAGGTCAGCTCATCACCCACGTGCCCAGAAACCCGCGTCTGTCACCGCTGAGTCACCCTTTGGAGCAGCCGATGCTGTCACCATCGGAGGTGACCACCGAGTGATCCAGGAATACTGAATATCCCGTGTGCCCCTGCGCCTGCCCTGGCTGCCGGTTCCAGCATCCTAATGGCTTCAGTGAGGCTGCAGGGAGTTAAGTGATTTGTGATCTGGAATCCAAATACCACAGTCTGTCGTTCCCTCCCTCTGGCTCCTGGCATCCATGTAGAGTGTGTGAGTCTTGTTCGCATTTGCACACAACCTTCCTGTGGAATAAGTGCTGCACAGCTGTAAAAGGCAGGGACACATAGCCGACCTTAATATGGCAGCTGTGACACACACACACACACACACACGCGTTCAACATCAGTATTGAGTTTAATTTCATTTCTTAGTTGTTTGGGTTTTTTTCTTAAGATAACTACAGAGCACATTTATCTATTTCTTAAAACACTACAAAACCTCAGTGCTTTTCATCCTCACTGACTTTTTTTTTTTTTTTTTGTGATTTGCCTACCTGTGAGTAGCATTCCATCATTAGCATTTCATCCCATTTCATCCCAGCAATAGTTTTGTCAGGGACGATGCTCCTGATTTGGTGGAAAAGGCAGCTCTGTGCCCAGAGCAGAGAAGGCAAAAGCTTTTCTGGGAGGCCAGGAGCTGCTGCTGACATTCCCAACAGCATCGCCCCAGCACACCTTGCCCAGCATCTGAGTGCCTGGCACCGAGAATGTTTGGAGAGAACGTCTGGAGGCCGTAGGACTGTTCAAAGAGGGGCATCAGAGAGACAATTCTTTACGGAACTTTGACAGCGGTGAGCACCAGTCCCAGCACCGGGCCACAGTGCTCGGTGTTCGGTTTCAACAGCGACGGTTCCACAAAAGCTTCGGGCATAGCCGGGCCGCTGCGGACGGGACGGGCCGCTGCGGATGGGACACGCCGCTGCATGGCTGGGTTTTCAGGCGCACTGGGAGCAGCTGCAGCCCTGGCAAAGGCCGCCTTCGGACCCCTGCCGACCCCGGGAGCTGCGGCCATCGCCATCCCCGCTCCCTGCACAGCGCCAGAGCAGAGCTTCACCGCGGCTGAAACTCACTTCCCGTTGGGTGTTTTTCACTTTTTTCTCACATACCAAGTTATTTTGGTCCCTGCTCGGTGGGAGGGCCCTTGGCTGGGGCAGTTCCTCAGCACTCTGACCCCTCCTAATGAGGAGTGCAATGGAGCCCTGGGGTTTCACTTCTCCCTCTGTCCCCGTCATTAAACTAGCAGTAATTAAGTGGCAGCCCTCAGCTCAGTGTCTCTTACTCTTCCTGCAGTCTGTCCTTGTTCTACGAAATTGGAGACTGTGAGACTAAAACTAAAAAGAAAGGGGGGAAAAAAGAAAGGTCTGGGAATGCTCATGTGTGTTTATTTTGCTTGTAGTACTCAAAATAAAATTGACTTAATTTGTGGCTGCTTGCAGACTTTGCAAAGCGACCAGTAGCCAGTATTTGTTTTGTGAACCTCCGGCCGCCCGG